GAATTGATATAGTAGGCCTTCTTTTACAAATGTTGTGAATTTGGGAAAAGGACTTTTTTAAGATTCATTGTGGAATTTGAAGATTTTTTCTGTAGTTTTTTCGTCTTGCACCATCTTCTTCTATAGGTCAATGTGACACAACCAGACCAAATTTTTGAATGAAAATTTCAGAAATCGATTATATACATCTTCTCGTATAAAAATTGTCAATTGTTTTAAATTGTATGAAAGAGTTTTAAATTATTAATTGCGATACTGGAGAGGTTTTTCTCTAGTGTTTGCTTTACCCACCGCCGTCTTCTAAAGCTAGTTCTGGGACAACCAGACTACATTTTCGAACGCGGATTTAAACAATCGATGTTTTTAAGCCTCACAAACCCTGTGAATTAGACTGATTTGGATAAAGTTTTTTCTTCGTAATTCCTTGCAGTAAATTGAGAAAGTTTTTCTGCGAGTTGTTCTTCTTGTACCATCTTTTGCTTCAACCGATTCTGAGACAGTCAGTTTTTTTTTCGGAAACTTGATTAAGCGCGAAATAAYACAGTGGGTATGTGCCAGTATCGGGAGAATTTGGAGAATAAATTAGAAGAAGTGCGATAGCCCTGATAGTGCGGCCTGATTTCCACGTAAATTTGYGTTTTATACGATTTTGTGAGTTTTATACGAGTGTAAATGGGGAGGTTCGTCCAAAAAAGTCTGAAAGGCATTCTCCGACTCCCTCCCAAGAGTGGAATACGTGGGGCGTCGGTGCTTCTTTGGGATTCTTTAGTACAAAATCAGAAGTAATCTTTTTTGTATCAGTGTTTTTTAAACATCATTTTCGATGCTTACAAATTACAGATTTGAAGTTTGTTAGTCTTCCTTGTTCAAAAGTCGTTCGTAAATGCCCACTCAGCAAGCGCAACGCGCTATAAGTTTTTCTTACTGTTAGATTTGCTGCTAAAATGTTGGATTACATAGACCATAGACAATCCTTTCAAAAACTGAAAATTTGGGGAATGTAATAACAGTTTCATCCATTGCATCTTCAGGTTTATCCAATCGAAACAATTGTTTTAACTTGTTGTGAAAACAATGGTTTATTAGACAATCAACTTCTATTTGAATTTTTACGGGAACTGATTGACTGGTAGGCATAATATAGTGTTCTTGATTCATGATAGCTCATTTTCTTTTGCAGGTCACGCATTATAAAAATTATTGATATAATCAAAAATTTGTGCAACGGACTTTTATTGTATATGCCGCGTGAGGTGGTGGCAACTGTTGAAGTGCAAATTGTCCCATATCTCGATGAAATATTATTGAATTTCTGCCAAACTAAGATTGGGATATATTAATACTCAGCGACACTTTTATCCTGACAAGGCCAGTGGTGTTCATACATTCGGAGCGATTTAGGTAGCATTTCATCAACTGTCCCTCATTTTAGGTACTATAGCATATTGTATGCTATTAATCCGATTTTTCAGTTAATGTCTCGATGTTTTTCGTTGTTTTTTTAATTGTGTTTTACAAACTTGTTCCGTTAGTCTAATACGTGGTTTTTGTCAAAAGTATTTTTGTCGTTGTAAAGTTGTCGAAATTGTTCAACTCTAAATACTTAAAAGTCCGCAAATTATTTTAAACGGTTTTGTAAATCCTTATGAGATTGAACATCTTTTTCTGCTTAGAGTTACGTTTATTATTAATGGCTACATTTTATATAGAGTTTGACGCATATTTACGCTTAAGTATATTATATATACTATTGTAAGTAGTTTAACAATATTTTTGGAATTTCTTGCAAGAAATGGACTTTTCCAATATATTTGTATCTTCAATTACTGCAGATAAACAAGATGAGACGAAATGTTTGTTTACTACCTATTCCTTCCTCCATCCAATCCGTCCCTGTTAAGATACTTTTTTTTGATGCTAAAGACACACGATAAAAAGTAGAGCGTTGTAGTCAAACCGGTTCTCTTGCCAGCCACCAAATAAGAGCGGTTCTGAAGACTCGTAATAACATTAAATTTTTGCATTTTGCTTGAAATCTAGTTACATTTCTAGAAAGATGTTTGGGTACAAAAAAGTACGCAATTTAACTCTTTATCTCGCAGTGAAAACTGGAGCTTTATAGCTCAACCGGTTCGCTTAATACGAACCACAGACGAAGAGCAGTTCAGTTTTTCTGTATTTTAGAGCGTTGTGGAAAATATATTTTCCTGAGATTCTGAGAGTTAAGTAGGATTTTGCAATGTGCTTTTGTGGTAGATTTAGAGGCAGAGGTAGAAAGAAGCGAATTCCTGGCCACTCAAAAAAGTCTCCACTTTAGGGCTTTTGACTAAAGACACTATTCCCGTAGTGGTGTAGAATTGACGGATAAAATAATCTTAAACATGCAAAAATTTCAAAATAATGCTTAATAATCAAATTGAAATTCGATTTTCATTGTTAACATCTTCTAGAAATTTTTGAAAAATAATTTTGTACTCTCCAAGTAAGCCCCTATTACCCCTAAAAAGGAAGGACGACTATTTTGCAATACCCTGTATAACATTGGCTTTTTACATTTAAAAACGAAAAAAAATCCCATTTTTGCGATCCAGAATTAGTTTTTACTTAATCTGCTTTATTTCACGTGTATTTCAATTTACAAGAAAAAAACGATGATTGTCCAGAAAATAACTAGTCAAAGTTCTACGTACCCACCTATACATTTTGTCTGTATATTCACGTTTTCTCAAAAATATTCTGCCGAAAATTCCTTTTATTGCAATGTGGCCGTCAAGCATTCCTTACTTGAATTCAACAGCTTTTTAGAGATCAATCAATACACATTTAAATAAACACGGTTAAGGCATCGGGTGGCCTTTAGATAGTGTTATATTTCATTCAGTGCTCTTGACGTTAGTGTTTTGAATTATTAAGGATGACTAAAAAAAGAAATAAGCGACACAAGACGCAATGTGAGAAGAAACTCGCCGAATCAACAAAGAGCACAAATCAAGTAGTAGAAACAAAAGCTGACATCGTTACTGCACGGTGGGTCTTTCATCTGATATAAAGGAGTTAGTGGCCCCAAAGTTAGTCACTTTGAAGCTGATAACAGCGTCATTTCCAGAGCTCCTGTCGTTACGCAGTGTGTAGAACCTAAACCCCAAGTTTATTATTGGGCTGATCCAAAGGTTATGAGCTCAAAGCTCCCATTAACAGACGCAGATCAAGCAGCATCGGATAACAAATGTTTAAAAAAGTATATAGTGGGGCAGGGTTGTGGTTTTACTTTCATATTTAAGCCATTTATTCCAGTCAAGTAGAGGATTATGCACATTACCACCGGGGTGAACCACAAATCGATCCCGTCTGCGGCCTGAAAAAGTTTTACAAAAATGAGTTTGAGGCTTTCGAAAAATACTTTATAAAGATTCAGTAAGTAGATATCTATCAAATTAACAGGACGAGAAAAACTAAGTGTTACCTGCAAAAATCGTACAAAATTAATTAATATAAATATGAACGTTAATAGCAGCCATCCCGTTGATAACCCGATTTTCAACGCGATCAGTCGAGAGGTATTGAAGTTGTCGGATCAGCCCACTTGTAGTCTGACAATGCAATATACTGGTGATCCCTACAAACTAGAGTTCTTTCGAGAGCCCTTCAATGTTAAATACCCACCAGTACTGGCGCCCAATAAAATTATTGAATTTGCCCATGCCAGTATTAAAATCGCGTAAGTTCAGACGAATTTCAGTAGTAACCAAATGAGTTGAAAAGTTTTCCGGGCTTAAAAGCGTCTTGTTCACATCTGCAGTGGACCAGTTGAAGTCCCACCTATAACTGGTTCGTTATCTGGTGCTGCTGCTGTTTTTATACTATCCCTTGCGCGCCGAACAGTGGTGGGGATAGAGAACAAGAACGCATTGGGATTAATCGTAGTGAATGCCTTATCGTCCGGAAAACTCTTCAACTAATTTGTGGACTGGCTGTAAAAGCTTCCATAGTTCGATACATTGAGGGTGTAACTTTTTTAGAGAAAAGGACCTCAAAGGCCGATGCCTAGTGAGTACCACTCAGTTAGAACCGCATACAGTGCTAATAAGCGAAAAGGCCACAGTG